AGAAACTCCCACTTCTTGTTTTCTTGATTTTAATTATTGATGTTGGTGTCATCTAGTGCCCAGGAATTTGTAAAGTATAAATACAGTTGTTCTGTCGTTAGTGTTGAGTACATTATCTTGTAAATGCATGTCAGTCAGAACCTTTGCTGGTGGAAGGTAATGGAATTTTTAGCAAGATGAGAATGTTGAAATTCAAGTTTAGGAAGGTGAGGTGGGGGGAGGAACTAACAGTTGCTGAGGACTTATTATAAACCAGGCACTGTGCTAGTGGCAGTGGGAGAAAGATGTGGCAGTCTGCTTCCGAGAAGATTACAGCCTTGGAAACCCGATGGGGCAGTTTTACTCTCTTCTGTAGGGTCGCTATGAGTCAAAATCGACTCCATGGCAGGGAGTTTGTTTTTGGTTGATATGCTAGTGGTTTATATAGGGATGACTCTAGGCTACTATTACCTTTATTGCATGGATGAGGAAAGTTGAGTAGCTTCTCCAGTGTTACAGTCCAAGTAAGTAGAAGAGCTGGGAATCAAATTCGCATTTGTCAGACTTCAATGCTGTTTTCCAATATCATCATATTATCCTGGAAGTTGAAGACAATCATGTTGTTTTGGGAAACTGGAGGTTGACTCAATATAACTTTGCCTCCAATTGTGTTTAGATATTATCAAAATGAATACGTATACTTAGAGCCAGGCAAGCAAGTGGCAGTCTGTACCAGTCATCAATGGTGAAAATGCTGGCCAGCCCCAGTGGGGTCATTGTAGTACGTACGGCGTCCGCAGTAACGTGGATTGGAGCCGCCTGCTGCAATTGCCAATTCTGAGACGGGTGAGGTGAGCAGCAAGATGTTTATTATATATTGATATATAGGAGACGGAGGAGAATAGATTGCTCCAAAAAACCCGTCTCCCCCACTGGAGATCAGCTGAAGTCTTTTATAGGGACCGGATTATGGATCTTTTGTGGTAGTTTCTCCTTGAGGTGATGATGTCTTAGATGAGTTAACCTTCTACTGGTATTCTTAGAGGTTATCTGGTGACATCTTTGGGAATTATCTGGTGACATCCTGCTTTTTCTTGTCACAAGATGGGTGCTTTGTTTGGTTTTTCATTCTTAGATCATTATCACTTGTTTTCCACCCTCCAGGGAGGAACATTGGTTAATCTTAAACCTTTTTGTAGAGATAGAACAGGAGGGAAAAATCACGAGACAATGTGGTGGTTAGCAATAGGGAGTAAATAATAGTGAGCTGGGCCTGTGCAGCCTCTTCCAAACTGGAGGCTCTTCTGAATCTGGATGAAACCCAGAAGAGAAGAAGGAAATGATTTTTTTTAAAAACGTAGATAGTGTTGCATTATAAAGAATAATAATTAAAATCATAAAACTGACCCTCAGAAATATAAGGTAAGTCTTGGGAAGGAAGCGAAAAGAGTAAATCATCATAGGGTTGTTTTTCTTCGTTGAAAAAATTTGTTTATATAGTACCATTACTTATTGCTTGTAAGCAAGGACATTCAATTTGTAGTGTTTCCATATTAACTTTTCCCTCATTAATGTTGGCTTTTGTAGCAATATGAGATTACTTTATCTGACCTAAATCAGCCCATGCTTGTTAGTTTGTTGAAAAGCAAGAGAAATGACAACACTGAGGCTCGGATTGCCCACCTGATACCCGAACTCTGCTTTCTAACAGGTAATGTTTATGTCTTATAAGTCTATCAGGCTCCTGATTACACAAGATACTTAGCAGTGGGCAGAACCTGCTGAAGTTAGCTGAATGCCGGAGGATTAAATTAACCCAGGGAGGATGGGCCCTTTAAGTTATTTATCTGATTAAAGAACAGTGGGAGGATAGAATGCCTTTTGGAAATCGTTTGGCATATTAAATACTATCTATCTTCTTTATCTCATGTATTCCATTTGTTACTTTGATGTAAAATAGGCCCCCAAATATTTTCCTAAAACCAAGCTGCTGTTTGCCATTCGTTGAACTTTAATAGTATAGGAAGTGATGTGACTGATTTTCTTCAGTTCTGTTATTAGTTAACCTTTTTCAGTGGTGCCAAAATGGTCCTTATTTTTTTTCTGCATGAGCTTTCAGAAAGTAATTCTCATTATACAGTAGAATCTGAATAATTGTCTGGAGTACTTTTAATAATGTTCATTAGATTAACAGGCGAGGATTAAGAAGGGGGACTTTATATATTTTACACTTTTGTATTGGTTGGATCTGTTATGATGTGTATATATTTATTTTGCAACTAGAAAAGTTAATAAGGGTACAATGTTTGAGGTGAGGGGTGCTTATTATTAGTGGTATGCCTGATGTTCTATATCTACACAGTTCAATATGGTTAGCCACATGAGTCCAGTGAGCGCTTGAAATATGACTAGTGCAGCTGAGGAACTGAATGGAGGTATATTATAAGTGTACACTGCATTTTGAAGATTTAGTATAAAAAAAGGAAACTATTGATTCATAATGTTTTTATATTGATTACATGTTAAAATGATAATATTTTGGATGTTGTT